TATCTCGAAAATAATGTTTCATATTTATTTAATAAATATTTTATTATAAGAATATTTAATTTGAATGCAACTTAATAAGAAAAAGTAAAAAAAATAAATAAATGTTTTAATAGATGATAGGAATGAAAAATGAAAATTACTAATAATAATTTGAAATAAGTTTTTATTTTAACTTTAGTTAAGTCATCAAAATGATGTGGCATCTACATCACCTCATTAAAGTCACACAAGCAAAAAAGTCAAAGGGTTAACCGGTTTAAAAGGTAACAGGTTACCCATTGCTATTATGGGTAGATTTTTTAAAGTACAATGCCTTAATAAAAAATAATTTGAAAGTACATTATTGTAATAAAGAAAAACAAAAGTAGAATGCTATAATAAGAAATTTTATTAAAGTAGGTTGCTATTTCATGCATTTAACCCAAAATAAAAATATTATCTTCTTCTTAAAACCACATAAAAACGTATTATAACATCTTGAGATAAAGAATAAAAACATATTAAAATCGAGATATATCTCGATGTATTGCGCGAGTACCCTTCTAGTAATTAAAAATAAAAAACCAAACAAATATTTCAGTTTCAAATGATTAAACATTTAAAAAAAATTAAATAAATAAATTATTGGGTGAAGATCGAAAAAGTCCATCCACTTTTTCATATTTTGAGCGATTAAGTTTCTAGACATTTTAAAAAAATCCTTAAATAACTCACCTACATAAAATGTAGATCTGAATAAAAAGATCAAATAATTAAAGTGCTTAATTATTATATCTGATTTTGTGATATTTAATTTGATTAAATAAAATCAGATCAAAGTTAGCTTGTTTGACAAACGTGAAATATAAATTGACAAGTAGTAACTTGTCAAATAAATTGTGTAAAAAGGACAAACATGCTTTAGAAGATATGAGATTTTCTAAAATCGTGAACTGATCTTCCAGACGTGATACATATAATACTTGTTTATTATAAGTATCATTATTATACTTATATAAATAGAAACCCATTGTGAGGTAATGGATGACTGGTTGCAAGCATTGTTCATCCAGATCAATTCTCTATATATTCAACAAACTGTTTTTTTCTCTTTTTCAAGGAGTTGAAAACCGTATCTAGCATTCATGAAGAAGAAAATCTCTTTCTTTGCCTTTGGACGTCAACTGGATTCAGAACATTTGCATGGATACCGTGGAAGCAACGAGTTGGGTTTATGGTGTTGATGATTTGTATCACTAATATTATTTAAGTGTAATGAGATTAATTGGTTGACCAATGTAATCATGATAAATATTGAACAAGTAAGGAAGGTGCGAAGTGCACACTTGTTTGAGTTTATCGCCCCTATCTGGGGGCAGCGCCCCCGATGGCGGGGTCTCTGTTTTGAAAACCCGGTTTTTTAACTGTCGTATGTCAGTTTTCGACCGTTTGAGGGAAAAGCTACGACTTGGTCATCTGATTTTCGATACACAGATTTCATAACACGGAAAACTCTTTGTTCGGGAAAACCACTGAATTTTATCCGATTGAAATTTCGATTGTACCATCGAAATACTTCAATCTGAAAGTGATACACGATTTTAAGTGGAATCCAAACAATCGAAAACCAGAGCTTCTAACATATGGCTCCCGTATTTCTACATCAAAGGGTGGTTGTTCGTTCTAACAAAATTTTAGAACATTCTAACTACTCTGTTTCATATGAATCTTTGAAGGAATACAATAACTTTCCGCTGAGTTTATGGCTCCTGTATTCCTACAACTGTTACAGGTCGATTTAATCGGTTTTAGAAAATATTATTAAAAGTTTTTTACATTATTTAAATATTATTAAAAAAATTAAAAGGTAAATATGTAATTTTAATCCACCAATTACTTGCCTTCCATTGCACTCCATCGTGAAGGAAAATTGATGACTTAAATCATAATCCATCGAGTTGGTCGGGTTATGAATCCTCAATACCCCACCCCCAAAAACTAAATTAAGGAAGTTCCTTTTTAAAGTTGTTTAAATAACTTTCCATTCAAAATTAAAAACCCGTATTTAATGCATCAAATACTGTTTAATGATATATATTACTTAAAATTCAAGATTATAAGTAAATGATGTATAATAACAATTTTTTAAAACTATATGTTTAAATTCATATGGCTAAATGATAAAGATAATAAAATACATGATACACAACTCATTTTAAATAAAGTTTTAAAATATTATTAAAATTTCAAGTGTGAAATTACAGCTATATTGGCAACGACTATGTCCCTTCCATAGGGGTCGTTGTGGCTTGAACTCATTTCTGACCAACTACGTAATACTACGCAGGCTCATCAAACAACGCTTTTTAACTAGTTAGATAGAAGGGCTTGCCTTCCGCATTTTCATATACCAAATACGAATTGGGGGTTTGAATCCCTCCTCGCCCACAACCGGCACCTTTGGGAACATCTCTACTGACGAACCATTTCGATAGTACGGGTGCTACCGTGCCACGAGGCACGACTATGGAAGTAATGAAAAAGAAAAGGTTATGTAGTTGGACCATCTGTTCTATCCGTTCATCATTAAATTTTAACATAATACTTAATTATTATTTTAATAAAAAAATATATATTAATTCATTATGAAACCTAATTAAATTATATATAATAAAAATATTAAACTTAAATTATCTTTATAAAAAATATTATAATATTAAAAATAAAATAAATTACTTCATTATTAAATTTAAATTAAATTAAACATTAAACCAAAAAAATTATAAAAAATGAGAACTTTTAAATTATTAATTTACTATTAATATCAATATAAATTTTTATGGGTTTTCAAATTTATATTTTATTTAAGTACATAACCATTTTCTCAAAACCATACAACACCGTATTATAAAATCGATAGAGGCAAATAATAATAAAACAACATTAAAATCGAGATGTATCTCGTTGTATTACGCTAGTACACTTCTAGTATAGTAATATAGAAAGAGATGTTTGTTTATTTGTTAATCAACTATTCAGTATTAACTTTGCAAAACCAATTTCAACTCTTAAATTATTTAATCAATGGACCAGATGTATTTATCGTCATTTCAATTCCTTAAGTGAACTAAGGGTAAAATTGTAATGTTATTTTTGGTACCGGTTCATTATCCATGTAATCTCTCCACATCCCGATAATCTCTCCACCTAATTAGGATACAACAGAATTTTACGTTATAAGGTTTTACATATGAAATATGAGTCTGTAAATATGTTTAATTTCCAAGTTGGGAATTTCACAGATGAAATTAGAGTCTGTAAACATGTTTGAGTTTTTGTTCACAACTGAAATATGAGTCCATAAATATGTTTAGTTATTTCAAAGTTGGGAATTTCTCCGATGAAATTTGTATGTACCATGAATGGACTTTGATTGTTTCACTTACGGGATGAGAGTGAATTAATATTGGGAGTATTTTCATAGATGAAGTAAAATATACAGACTTGGGATCATGTGAGAACAAACGTTTTTCGTGAGACCCGTAAAACTAATTCTCAACCATTTGATTAGATCTACAATCTAAACATTCATAATCACAAAATTGCCACGAGACTTCTCAATAATCACAAAATTGCCACCGTACAACTTTAGACCGTTAGATTATTAGCTTATAAAGTTGATT